TATGCTTGGTGTGACCGCGAGCCCTGGGCGCTCTGTGGGGGTCGGGCTGTGGGGAGGGGGCTGCCTGCGTCGGTCCTGGGGGCAGGAGCCCTGGAAAGCTCCCGGGGCTGTGTGGGGCTGGAGGGGGAGACCCTGTCCCTGCTGCTACCGGGGGTCCCTGACGTGGCCAGCCCCCGGGTGGCTGTGCTAGGGCTTGGGAGGGGGCTGCGGGCGGTGGGTGCGGGCAGAGGGGCTCACTGCCCTGACCCCTCCCCAGTGGAGCTGGTCCTCGGATGAGGCAGCAGCAGGAGCTCACGGCCACGCCGGTCCCCCAGTGCTGGCTGGCAGCAGTGCACGAGGCCCTGCAGCCGCCCCGCATGCAGCATTTGCAGCTAATTAAGCATATCCCAATCAGGGCCAGTAACCCCAGCAAGGGAGTCACGGTGGGGGGGGTCATCGAGGCGGCTGTGGCTCTGTCCTGTGCTGGGGGCTTTTTCACAGGGCTCCCCCAGGGACACTGCGCATCTCCCCGGGTGTTCCCCCTTCCTCTCTTTCTGTCCCCCCCACCCCAAGGTGACCTCGGTGTCGGTGCTTGCCATCGGCTGCAGGCGTTGAACAAAGCGTTGTGCCTCAGCCCAAGTTTGTGCACATCACCTCAGGTTTTCGTGTAAGATCTGGGGAGCTCCAGCTGCGTGTGTCCTGGGGAGCCAGGGGCTGCTGTCACTGCCCTGCTCCCTGCCAGGTCTATCGGGGGGTGCCGGCACACGCGCCCTTCCCCAGGACATCCCCCCAGGGCTGCAGCTGCAGGGATGAAGACGATGCTTCACCAAAGCTGGCTCCTGACGGAGTTTCCCAGCCCAGCCTGCAGCACCGGGTTGGGTGCTGTGGCCCTGGGGGAGCCCCGCTCCCTGCAGAGGGGCCCTGGCTCTGGGAAGCTGCTCCCCAGTGCAGGGCACCCCGGGGTGCTGGGTGCTGGTGTGGGTCGGCCACACGCTGCCCCAGAGCTGTGGGGGGCACCCAGAGGCCCCAGCGTCCCCAACCCCATGCAGTGGGAAGTGGCCTCTGCCCAGCCCCGCTGCTGGCTGAGGCTGGGGGGCACAGAAACCCCCCAGCAGAGCAGCCAGGCTGTGATGGGGTCTCAGTGCCGGGGTGCCCCAAGGGCTGGGGCAGTCCCCAGGGACTGAAGAGGGGCCCCGGGTGCAACCCTGGTCCGGGGGCTGCTGGAGCAGAAACACCACAGAACAAAGCAGAGCTTTCTTATAAATTTATTACATAATAATAATAATAATATAATATAAGAAACATAGATCTCTGTGGGGTATGTGTATCACAACGTCAAGGGCGGGAGGTGAATGCTCACACCTCCATGACTCTGGAGAAGGAGAAATCTCCTCAGAAAATCCATACAAAATAAGGGTGAAGTCAAACTGACCCTGTAAAATTAAAAACAGAACAAAAACCCACAGGTGAGTTCGTCTGGGGGGGGGGAAACAAGAGTGTGGATGTGAGACGTGTGCGTGCGCGCGTTCACGCACGTGTGTGCGAGGGTGCGAGCCTGTCTATGCACATGCAGAGTCTGAGTGAGTGTGCACGCGCCCGGGGGGGCCGTGTGCGTGTGGGTATATACGCACATGTATACATGCATGCCGGCGATGGGGGGTGTGCACGTGTGCTGGAAAAAAATAAAACCAGGCCACACTTTGTTGCTGCTTCGAAACGGTTTGAGCTGCAAAAGCTCGCCCACCAGGAACAAAGTGCTTGGGGTTTTGTTTTCTCGTCTCTTAAAGTCAGGATTACAGACGGGAGTTTATGGAGAACAAGGACCGATGAGTTTTCGTCTGGACAAAGGAAAAATACCAACAACTTTAAAAAAAATCCCTCCAAAGAAATAAAAGGTGTTTCCATTTTTACAGAAGATAACCCAAGTCATTGAGAAGCCATGAGAATCACAGTAACGGCGGCGGGTCCTGGCGCACCAGGACGTCCTGGCAGGGGGGGCCCAGCTGCGCTCAGGACCCTCGCCGCAAGGCCGGGTGGTTGGGTTCCTCGCCTATCGCTCTGCCTTCTCCTGAATGGCTTTTCAAAATGAAATGTCTCACTGGGTCTGCAGATGTTTGGAATGGAGATGCCAATGCCATCAGAGTAGATATAAAGTCAGAAAAGAGCTATCTACACATGGGAAAAAAAATCCTCTTTGCTTCAGCTGAGAAAAAAAAAAAAAAAAAAGAAAAAAGTTAAGTAGCAGCAGCTGCGTTAGCTGGAAAGTTTCGTTTCTGTCTAGGTGGGACTAGAAATGATCATGGGACAAGACCACTGCTGGCCGTCAGGCCGGTACGCAACCGACTGCTCCTGGTGGCGCTGCCGCAGAGAACGCAGCCCCCGGGCAGGCCGGGGCGGGGACGTCCTCCAGCAAGTGCGGGGCATCGAGACCTCGGCTTGGCTGGTGCTTGAAGCGGGGGATGAAGCTGCTCGGGGCCAGCACGGCCACCGAGCGGGGCAGTGACCGGCACCGCCGGCTGGCCAGGCACAGGGGCAGAGCCCTGGGCCGCAGGCGGCACCGGTGAGACCGAGCTGCCCGGGGCAGGGAGGAGCTGGCCCTGGCTGCTCGCGTCTCGGGCAGCACGGGCAGGGCAAGCGCCCCGGGTGCCGCCCCGAAACGGAGCAGGCTCACCCCACGGGTGCCCTGGCACTGCCTGGGACGGTGCTGTCTCCAAAGCCCCAGGCCAACGCTCGTCCAGCTCCGCATGAACGTGTGTCCATGGAGGGGACGGGAGGGTGATGGGGAGGATGAAGCCGTCGCTGCTGTGTACAGGGAGAGGGGAGCAGGACTTCGTGGCAGACCCAAGCAGCCGCAGGGACAGGGGTGATGGCACGAGTGTGGTTGGAAGTCGCCTTCTTTTGTGTTATGCCTGACTGGGACCAGCCGTGGTGGCCCTGGGGCTGGCGGCCCCGAGGGTTCACGCAGTGTTTGCCAACACAGGTACGGCTGCAGCTGCTTCGTGTCTTGGAAGCTGGGGTGCACGTGGGGGCGGCGCGGCCGCCGGCTCCGCCAGCAGCAGAGCGGTGCATCCACCATCTCCAGCCCTCGCCACAGGGAAGGGGCAGCAGTAGGGGTGGAGGAGGGCTCTTCGGAAATGGCAAGAAGGCGTCCAGCTTTCCAGGTCCCAGACCGAACTTCCTGCAGAAAAGTTACGCTCTGCAGTCTTCAGGCCCCTCGCAGCGAGGGGGGGGTGCAGGCAGGGTCTCTGTGCGTCGCCCCAGAAGCAGCTGCAGAAGGGGCAGAGACCCGCAGACCACGGGACAGAGCCCGAGGGGCAGCCTGCACTCAGGACAACACGGTTACACTTCAACCCGCAGTGCCCACCAGCCACCCCGCAGCCACAAGGGCCGTGGAGAGGCTTTTGGGGCCGTGCCGGGGGGTGCCAGGGAGCAGCAGGCAGCAGCTCTGTGTGCTCCGGCTGCAGGAGGGGGGCAGCTCCACGCCTGAGGGACATGGGGCTGCCGGGGGCGAGGGCTGCTGGGGTCTGCGTTACCTGCAGGTGGGGTGGAAAGAAGCTGGCAGTGAGATGGAAATGGAAGAGGTGAGAGCCGCGGCGTGGTCAGGGCAGCGGGGCAGGAGCTGGAGGTGCTGGGCTGGGGGGGTGCAGGGCCAGGGGCTGCAGAGCCAAGCCGGGCAGCCTGGGCCAAGCCATCAGTGGTGCAAAGGTTTGGAGCGGTGCCGAGCTGCGGCGTGCAGGAACAAAGCGTGCTCTGCGGGGCCAACGTCTGCCCACACAGCCAGGAGCAGCCCTGGTGGGGACCCATGGGGCAGAGCACGGGAGGCTGAGCCACGGGATGGCCAGGGAGCGCTCAGGCATGGGGGAGCAGAGGCAGAAGCCAGCAGAAGGACACCACCAGCCTAGGGACTAATGGGCATGGGCTTCCCATGGCTCAGTGCAGGCTGGAGAGGAGCGTTTTCTACATCAGTGAGCGGCTCCAGAGCAACCTCACAGAAGCAGCATGAGGATCAGACAGCCAAACTAATTATTTTTTTTAGAAATTCTAACGTTTTACAGAGTTTGTGGCAGAGCCTGCATGACACGGAGCCTGGGACAAGCCTGCTGGCGTGCCCGGTCCCCGCAGCAGCGGAGCTGGCACGCGGCAGCGGCGCAGAGGCTCTGTGCACCCACGGGTGCCACCGGGACGTGGCGGTGCCACTTCGCCAGGCACGGGGCTGAAGAAGCAGCATCAGCCTCAACATTCAGGTTGCAAGGGCACGTGGTGGGCTTGGCTTGTGGCAACGTCTACAGACATCGAGGGTCCAGGCACTGCAGAGCATGTGGGAGGCGATGAGGGGGAGCAGGCAGGGGACACACGGAGCCGGTGGGGCTGCGGGCAGCGAGCTACGTGCCAGGGGTGCGGCAGCGGCGGTGGCAGTGGTTGTTGGCACAGCCAGCAAGTGCCACCCTGCCAGCAGCCTGGGACATCCCTAGTACAGGACTGTCCCCATCTCTGCATGAGCACGGCAGCAAATGTTTGTGATCAGGTGATAATTAATGCCAGGGCAGGCTAAGGAGCTGGAAATGTGGGCGATGGAGAGTGAGTGGGCTGTGGGCAGCAGGGATTAATTCAGTGCGTCTGGAAGTGCTGCTGGCCTCGGGAGAGGCCATCGTGGAGGGCTTACGGGTGCCAGGGCGGGGGATGGAGGAGGGCGGGTGGCAAATGGGAGCAGTGGGGCAAATGCAGGGCATGGAGGGGGGCACAGAGGCAGAGGCGTGATGGGGCAGGCTGCAGCGATGGGCACGGGGCAGGACATGGTCACACAGCATCCAGCGGTAGCATTGGCACACACAGGAGGGGCAGGGAGGAGACTGATGAATACGATGGCAAACCTGGTCAACAAAGAGGTGGCTTCGGGCAGACACAATGGTTGCTATCACAATTAGGATGCCTCTTGGCTCACCAGGTTATTGGATGGGAGGCCTGGAGTACCCTGGGGTATCTACAGCAGGATTTTTGCTTGCAGAATAAGAAGGTACAGGTTGAAACCCCCTCTTGCCTTCCCCATGCGACTGTCCCAGCTGCAAGCACTGGGATGTTGCCTGGGGAGGGAAGAAGTGCTGTGAATACACAGAATTCAGCGGTTTCTGGAGAGCTCTAAATAGAGCCGTTTTGGGCACGTGCCCAGCAAGAGAGCTCAGGGAAAAGGAGACAGCACCACAGCCTGCCAGGATCTGTCCCGAAGAGGGCCTCAGCCTGGTGCTCACACGCAGGAGGGGGCCGCAGCCCCAACCCTTGGCCTGTGCCTTTCCACTGGCTGAAGGTTGTGAAGGTTCGGAGATGTGTGAGGGTCAGAAGGAACCTCCTTGTCCTTCCCTCTAGCACCAGAAGAGTTAATGCCTTCATGGGGGACTCAGCTTTTGGGGAACACCAGTCACCAAGCCATCCCCTCCCGAGCTGGCCGGGGCGAGCCCCTGGCCACCCCTGAGCCTGGATGCGCGATGCTGTCGAGGGTGCAGTGCGGAGGGGAGCGCACGGGGTGGGGGACAGGGACCGGGCTGGGGGACGGGGATGCTGCCTCCTCCGGCTCTGGGGCCGCCCCATGGCACCCCAGCCTCCTCAGCCACTGGGTGTAATGCCAGTGCTGCCCCTTGCTTGCCTCCGGCTGGGGTTCCCAGCGCGGCGCTCGCTCCGGGGCACGGCACAGCCTGCGCAGCCCTTGGCCGGCCGCGGTGCGCTGCGGGCACGGGGTCCGAGGGTGGGCGATCGCCCCCAGAGCTGGAGGTGGGAGGAGGACCTGAAGCCACGGGAGCCCTGCGCCTGCCGGAGGCGCGGGGTTGCTGCAGGGTAGTGGAAGCTCTCCATGCATCTCTGCCTGCGGGGATGGAAGACTTGGTGTGTCCCAAAAACCAAGTTTTGTGTTTCTAAATCTTTAAAATCCAGAGTGTCTGAAAGGAGCTGTTGGTTTTTTTTTTTTTCTTTTTTAAAAAGACTTTAACATTCATTCAGTCAGTCACTAAAAACTCCCATGAGTCATGGGCGTCCCAGGGGAGGGGTGCAGGCACCACCTCATCAGCATCTCAACAAGTCTAGAGATATATAGATTTAGTAAAATTATAACAAAATCAGGTGGCTATAGCTATAGATATAGATATATAGATATTTGTTCTCTCTTTTCAAATATATAGCTGATTAAAAAGATGCAAAATAAGGATGACTAAGACGGAGTGGGAATCCTGTAGTTCAGTATCGTCTCTTGTAGATCATCAGCTGCTCTCTATATAAATGCACGGAGATTATATATTATCCATCAATGTGTCCCCCTTGGAAACAAGACCCCAAACCAAGAGGAAATAAAACACCTCCCCCCACCCCCCACCCCTTTGAACGTTGGCAAAGCGTTTTCTGCTGGATTCCCCACCAGCCTCCCTCCGACACCCCCCAAACATGCTTCTATCCATGCGGTTTCGGTCCCTCTCTCTCTCCAGGGCAAACCAAGCGCAGCCAGGCAGGGGAGCAGAGTCCACAGCCAGGCTCTCTCACGCTTGGCGCCCTTCTCACCCGCACAGGCAAGGCTCACTCCTGCCTGCACCGGGTCTGCCGGAGGAGCCGCGGCAGGGCCGAAGCAGGGCGCGGGTGGGAGCAGGGCGGCCGTCACCGCGGCTCTCCTGGCACGCAGCGAGGCTGCCCTGCCACGGGCCCTGCTCCTGCTGCCCCCCTTCCTCGCCCAGCCCCACGGGGCCTCCATCCTGCTCCTGCCCCCGCAGCGCCCTGCCTGCCTCCCCCAGCAGCCCGCGCTGCCGGGGCCCTGCCTTGCCGTGCCCCCCACACGCACCCTCTCGGGCAGCTCGTGTCTGGCCTGCCACCTCCCTGCCTGCCGCACAAGGGACCTGCGAGCAGCGCTGGGCTCGCAGGAAAACCCATGCAGAGCCTGCTGCTCAGGAGCCCTTGCCCTGCACAGGTTTGGTTCCTCGACTGCACGGTGGCCCTGCACAGTCCCCCCCAGCCAGGTGTCGCCGTGCCACAGGTCCCGTGCGGGGAGCCCGGCGCGGCGGCACCTGGCGCCTCGGCCCCTCCTGCCACCAGCGACGCCCCAGGGAAGAGCACATCAAGCGATATACAGGCCAGACTCTCTGGGAGGAACAGAAAAGAGGATGTATTTCATGCAACATTCCTTTTCCCGAAGGCGTCGCGGGCCTGGTGGGGCTGAGCGGGGTCTGCGTGTGCGTGGCACGCGGGCTGTGTGTGAGCGGGCGGGAGCCCCTCGGCTCCGCGCCCTTCAGTGCAGTGCTCAGAGTAGAAAGAGAATCAAACTGGGTTTTATTAGTCTAGTAGAAACGCCCCCCCCCTCCCCGTGTGGTGGCTCTGGAAGAGGCCAGCGCTGCCTAGGACGGTCAGCTGTCTACCAGCTGCTTGAGTGCCCGCTCAATGTTCATACGGTGCCCGACCCGTGTCACCCCCAACTCCACAAAGTCCTCCTTGGTGAGGGCGGGCAGGTGTGTGCCCTCTATTTCATGGTCCTCAAACTTGTCTCGGTGCTCCACCAAGTTGATGCTTTCCAGCCAGTCCCCGACGTCGTACTTGTTCCACAGGTGGAGGGGTTTCTGCATGAAGGGCCTTGGCGGGTGGAGGGTGTGCAGGGGCGGCCCTGGAGAGGGGGACGGGGACGGGGAGCGGCTCCGGGCGCTCACGCTCCTCACCACAAAACGCACCTCCTTGGGCTCGTGTGGGATGGAGAGGCTGGAAGATTTGAGGATGGTGGGAGGGGTCAGACCATAGGGCCGCACGGTGCTGAGGGGCTCTGTCCGATCCAGAGCCGGCTTCACGGGGCTGGGGGTACGTCGGGTTACAGGGTAGCGACTGCCAGGTCGAACTGTGTAGGTGGTCCCGGAGCTCCGCTGGGAAATGGTGCTGAGTTCTCCTAAACTACTGAAAAGTCTGCAGAAAGAACGGTACAGCGAGAGAGAGAGGAGAGAGAGCAGAGGGCGGGGTGAGGCCAGGTCCCCAGACACAGCGGCACACACACAACACGCGGGGCGGCCGCTGCAGGGCTGGGCCAGCCTCAGGCAGCAGGGGTGGCTCTGCAGCGCTCGGGGACACGGGCTCGGAGAGCTTTGGCCAAGAGTTCCTGCAAGCCCTGCGAGGTCTATTCCAGAGGAGGCAGAAGAGGTTCCAGCAAGTATCTCCGGTTCCTGGCCAGACCTGCCCTAGCTGCCATGGCCCTGAAGCCCACGGAGACCTCCTGGGGAGCAACCTGGCCCTGCAGCCCCCTGCGGTTGTGCTGAGACGGCTGCAGCTGCAGCCCCGCACTGCTGCCTGCCTTGGTGTGTCAGGAGCCTGCGGCAGAGCCTTGTGGAGCTACGCCGGTCCCCTCCCACCAGGGACCATCTCCCCTACCTCACACCACTAGGTCCAGTTTGCAGTTGGGTCCTGCCATGGACCCAGAGCATAACACCTCAAGCCATCTGCCATAGGGGCAGAGCCCCTTCCTGAGACAAGAGGACCCCCCTGCCACCTCTCCAGGGAGCGGTGTGTAGGTGGGAGGGCCGTCGTGCCACCCCAAGCATGGTGACAGCGGGGCCTGGCTGCCACCTGGAGTGGTGGCGAGTTCCCTAGTGTGGGCTGTGCAACAGGACAAAGGGGTGTCTGAACAGTCTTAGCTTGTGTTATGCCACGTGTCTGCCTCCCTGGGCATTTTGTGCCTTGGTCTGCAGTGTTTGTGGGCAGGCTGACACTGCTGGGGCAGCAAGTGTCACTTGTCAAAGAGGACACAGTGTGCCTGGGCACCGGCCTGTCTGCTCCCCGCTAGCTCTCCCTGCTGCAGGAACACTTTCCTTCTGCCATCACCTATTTGCCTTTACCACCTCGCCTGGCATAAACAAGTATTTTCGGTATATGAAAAGAAACAGAACAACAAAAAAAAAAAGACAGGGAGAAAATCTGGAGGGCAAGGCCTTTGAGCATATTGCTTGAGCGAGCCCCTCAGCTTGGGAAGCCTGGGGACAAGCACCCACCACCGGTGGCTGTCGGGGCCAGGACCGGCCAGGGGGCCCTGGGGTCTGTGTGGTCTCTCTGGTCTGGCAGTGGAGGGGAACGAAGCACCCTGAACCCTCCCCAGGCCTTGGATGGGAGGCTATGGCTCCATCCTATCTCCAATTACCTTTACTACTGCTCTTTGACCAGGCTGCACTTTGCTAACGTGCACCCAACAGAATGAGTTGGCCTCGGTGGGCGAGGTAGCCCACCACTGCTGCCAGGTGAAATGAGCACAGATGGCTTCTGGAGAGCAGCCAGGTGCTGCGGCCTGAACGCCTGCAGCAGCTCCGAGGCCTTGGGACTCCAAGGCCTGGGCAGCAGCCCATGAGCCCTGGCTGATTGGGGCCTGGCTGGTCCCGCAGCAGAAATGCTGCAGACAGGAGGTGGTGAGAGCACTCCTGAATGGCAGCAAGGGTCTGCTGCTCTGGGTCTGCACACCCCTGGGCTGGGAGGCACGGCACTACCAGGGCTGGACTGGCCATCTTTGCTGTCCACTGCTGAGAGTCAGGCAACATCAATGTGCTTGTCCTCTGAGCGGGGCTGTGGCTCCCTGTGCCTGCAGGCTGCAGGTTCGCCACCGCCACGTCAGTGCCCAGAGCCCCTCAGCCCAGCCCCGCAGAGCAGGACGCTGCCCAGGCTCCTGCTGCCCCGGGAAGTCAGAGCCTGAAGCTCGGTGCTTGGAAGCATCAGAGCGCTCCTCCCTGGGCCTGGCACCACCGCCTGCAGCCTGACACACTGCAGTCCCCTGCTCCCTCCAAGCTCTGCCTTCCCCTCAGGATCGCTCCCAGGACAGACGGACACTGGAGAGCCTTTGACAGCTACAGCAATCCATGGACTACACTAAGCACGCTGCCATTAATGCAGACACCACACAAGACACGGCCTGGGAAGTTAATACATGTCAGTGATTTCTTAGAGAGATGGCTCCGAGAAGATGAGCTTAACACGAATATGAAGGTCTGTCCAGAGTCTGTGGGCTTAGCCACATCGCCTTGTGTTCTTATTTTCCTCCTACCTTGGCACAGAAAGCAAGAGCAATAAAGAAGCGTGACGATGAATCACATTTAGGAAGCTCCATCAATATAAAAGAGGAACAACCGAATGACCTTGAGGACTGCAGCACGAAAAACAGAACAAAAAGTGACAGTACAAAATTCAGTGTCCTACTGGCAAGGATCTCTGCTTTCAGCCGGAGCTCATTTATGGGGAATGATGAAGGAAGAGAAAGTTCTGGGTCTCCTGGTACACCCTAAGGTGGCCGGGAGGCACCAGTGCGGCAAGAATACTGCAAGATCTGAAGTGTGCACTAATGTCACCATACAAGACACCCACACAATCTATCGCGAAATTCTGAGCACAGTTCTGGTCCCGCACGTTCAAGAAAGGTAAATTTGAACAGGAATGGCTGCAGACAGCGGCAGCTGGTGTGCCAGGAACTTGTTCAACCTGGCAAAGGCAGGACAGAGGGGAAATTGCTGTGAGAGGCTGTGAGAGGAGAAGAGAGGCCTAGCCTGGAGGGTGCTGAGGACGGCAGGCCTCAAACCCACGCTGGCTGGTTAGCAGATGGCACCTGGCTGTCGGATCGATAGCGCTGGTCAGGGACGCTGGTGGCCCACCAGGCCTCAGGTCAGTCTGCAGAGTGAGGACGTGGTTACGGCCCACAGCGAGTAACGAACCAAGACAAGGCCTTGGGCCCTGCAATTAGCTGCACAGGGTTACCGCCTGAAGAGTCACCTTCCACATGGTTTGCAGAACAACCCCAAATCTGCGTCCACACATGAATTAACCTCGGTACAGGATGAATGACAACTGCTGCACTGAGGGTTTGAGGGCATAACACGCTGTGTGCTCCTGTCTCCAGACATCGTCTGCACATCTTCCTGGGCAGCCGTTCACCTTCTGCTTGTACAGTAATGAGATCTTCCCCACAAGGCTCTGTACGGTCTGTTGTGAGAGAACTTCTATGCCATGGCGTAACCAGGACATTCAGGATGTGAGATCAGACAGTGGAGACCTGCCCCAAAAATGCTGCAACCCGCCTTGAGAGTTTTTGAGTTTAGGCTGCAAATAAAGAGGGGTTGTGAGAGTGGGGCATATCCTTCCAGAGGATTTAGAAAACTCCAGAAATGGCACACTGGGCCATTATTGTCCAGTTGTGCTCTGGTATTACTTCCACCCCTCTTTCAGGAGCTGCTTCTATTGGTTTTCACCTGCATGGGCCTTGCTACCAGGCACGCAGGTCCCAGACGAGACCATAGCAGGCCTCTGTGGCTCAGCTTCTTCTCTCAGGGTCTGCAGAGCCTGGGGAAAGGGCTTGCTGTAGCCTCATGCAAGAAATCGGCTGTGTGCCCAGGCTCCCAGGGCCAGCGTGTTCCTGCAGCAGTGACACAGGGGAGCCGAAGCCGACCTTTCTGGGCATGGCCGGTCAGCAGATGCAATTTGCAGGTCTGTTCTCCGCAGAGAACTGGCTGGCTCAGCACAATGGACTGCTGGCAACACACTGCTGGCTCTCGACTGCTTCAGGAGCGCTGTTCTGCCAGCCATGCATTATGTCTCTGGTCTCTGATGCCCCGTCCAGCTCTGGAAGATGACTTCATTAAAGGCCATCAGGACAATTGTTTGCTCAGAGGCACTTTATTCTGTGCTGAAGCCAGGTAAGTTTTTCTGGATGTGATCCTTCACAAGTGGTAACTCAGCACAATATCCTTTCTGACAACTTGCACATTATGCATAACAACCATATCTGCTTAGAGGGCTCTTTCTGGGTCATTGCTCCTCGTTACAGGTTCATGTTGGCATATTAGTGTTTTGCCAGAGGACTACACATTGATACAGACGTACCAACCAGCTGTAACAAGCTGAGGCCAAGTGCTGCTATGTTTTAGGATGATGCTATCAAAGCCTTTACGTTTGTCAGGTTTCATGAATACTAAGGTGTTGCCCACGTCTTTGGGCAACATCACAGAAATGTAACTGGGAAGCTTGACTAGAAAAACAAAATACTTTCTTCGCTTTCCACTTCCAGCGATGCTCCAACTGGGCCTTGGAAGATGAGCAGCGAAGAAGTGGTGGGGTTGCTGGCTGTCACAGATTTCACTGTGGCAGCACTGATAGCTGTTACAGGGCTGCCTTCAAGCTTTCATTTTCAGAACAAGTCCAGGTTCTGGCAGCTCTACCCCTTGTCGTGCAGAGTTCAGTGATGGCAGTCTGCTGGCAACAGCGGTAGCAGTAGATTGGTTGCCCGGATTGCTTCTTCAGAGCAGGCAGAAAAAGCAGCCTTTGAGATGCAGAATGCAAGGCCTGATTTGCACACCACAGCATATGCATGGAACTGACTGAAATCAGTAAGAGGGGGAGAACAGGTCTCATGGGAAGCAATCTCAAGGCAAAGAAACACCAGCTTGCTGAAAAAGGAAGTTATAACCAAACGAAGAGGGATTACGCATTTGCAGGACAGCTAATTAAGCCTTCTGGGAATACTTTTACTGAAGGTATTAAACCACAGATTGCTTGAATAAGTGGCTAATGGATGAGCGTTCTTTCTTTGAACTCTGTATCTCAGTCCCAATTTCTTCAAGAGTAACAAAGACCAGGGAGGATTCAGCAACAGAGGTAATGCACCACCAATCATTCCAAAAAGAAATCCATTGCTTTTGCTCAGCAAGTCTTTGTTCTCACTGCTCTTGGCTTCCAGGTGTTTTCCTACCGGTGTTCAAAGGCGTCTCCACTGCTTTTTATTAGGACTGCATGAAGGATTCACTGCACGTGATGAACAACCTTCACTACCAGATCACCGAGACACGACTGCTCTCGTGAGCCTCCATCAGTGCTCGGCGCACCCAAAGGCTCTGACATGGAGCTCGGTGCGATTTGGGATTGTGGCCAGGCCGTGCTTTAAGGTC